CCGGGCCTGACAATATGGAGGGAAGTTAGACTTGACCTTTGGGCTCTGCAATCCCTCCTCAGCTGACCCCAGACCTCCATGACACTTGTTGGCACGGCACTTGGGTTTTCTCTGCCTATCTTCCCAGCCTCTCTATGATCCAATTGTTTCACATCACCTGGGGGCACGTGGGTCCTCTTGCCCAGCTTCTGAAAACACCACTCCCAGGTGAGTATGCTTGTCAATGAGGAAAAACAAGCTTCTTAGTCCCATGTCTGGATTCCTCCACCATCCTAAGAGCCTCCGTGCACCAGCCAGCAGAAAACCCACTCATTCTGCTCCGAAAAGCTGCAGACACCTTCCTAAGGCTCTGGACTCAATGCTGCCTAGCACACAGCTGGTGCTTAATAAATGCCTGTTGAGTCTAAAATTAAGAGCCCTGGTAGTACAATGGGTAAGCGTTTGGTTGCTAAGCAAAATCTTGGTGCTTTAAACCCATGCGGTGACTCTGCTGGAGAAAGACCTGGTGATTTGCTCCCGTTAAGATTACAGCCTAGGAAGCTCTATGGGATGGTTCTACTGTCCTACAGGGGTGGCTATGAGTTGGTACCGAACAACCACCTGCCTAAATGGCCAGTTTTACTGATCCTGGGTAAAGGAAGAAAGCTCCACAGGGGTGTGGGAGAGAGAGAGAGCAGAGAGGCAGAGAGAAGGGGGCAGCCATTGCAGAAAGCAGTCTGCCAGGGAAGGAGGAGACCCTGGGGACCATCACCCAGGGGAAGACGAAAGGAGAGAAAAAGCAGGCAGTTAGGGCTTTTTTTCTTGTTGTTAAGCAAACAAGGTCCTGAAGATCTGTTTTGTCAAGCTGAACTTCCCACATCAGTTTATTTAGCTGATCCACCAATTCTGGTAAACACATTGGAACGTGTTAAAAAGAAGGTGGGGAGGAGAATCAGACAAAACAAAGAGGGGAGGACATTTGTCTGGGGCCTGGTGACTAGAAGGCCTGACCACACTGCACCAGAGTTACTCAGGTGACTCACAACAGATCCAGGTGCAGGCGGAGGGGGAAGAAGTGAGACTGGATAAAGAGAGTTGAGTCTGAGCTGAGAGAGTAAGACTTGCTGGAGGAACGGGGAGGTGGGAAGCTCTGGGCAAAGTCCTGACTCAGGCCTAACCACTGGCATAAAGGCAAGTCAGGACAAGGTTATCAAGCAGCTTCTAGCTGCCCCTCCAGATCCCTGACAAAGACTGGAACCTCCCCAGGTCAGCGGAGCTGCAAACAGGTGTCCTTAGCTAGGAACCCAAGCTGGGGAGTCTGGTCTGATATTCAAACGCAGAAACTGGCTATGTGAGACGGGACTCAGTCCCGTCCCTCACTTGTGCACTGACACATCAAACCATGCAAACTAGAGCTGCACAGCTCTGTGTGCATTTCCAAGGCTGTGATCTGTCAGAAGCAGATTGCCACACCTGTCTCCTAAGGTACCTCGGGGTGTTTTCAAACCACCTTTTCAGTTAATCGTCTAGCTTAGCCCACCCAGGGGACTTCCTCAACCTGTGTGAGGTAACCAGTAATAATGCACCTTTCAAGAGGAGTGTCTAGTGGCTTGCCTGGTATTCAACAGGCGCTTCATAGTGGCAACTCACATTACTGTGATGGGCAACAGTAGACCCAGTGCAAGGGGCCGACAGCCTGTGTGACAATGGACACACACAGGAAATGGTTTTAGATACTTCCCTCTGCATAGCCAGAGTCACACAAACCAAAGGAACCTCTTGCCCACTGTCAATTCCCACTCCTAGTCCCACAGGACACAACTGTCCCATGAGGTTTTCTAAGACTTAACTCCTGATGGGAGCAGACACTCACACCCTTCTCCTGTAGAGTGGCTGGTGGATTTGAACCACTTCCCTTCCAGTTAGCAGCCAACTGCTTAACAAATGCGCCACCAGGGCTCTAGGGCAACACAGTTGGGAGCAAAAAAGGTCTTAATCTTTAGTCTCTTGGGTTTACCTTTTATTTCAATGCTACAAAACCACATTAGTATTCATGATTTGATTTTTTATTTTCTGAAATGGAACCATTGTACATTGTACAAACCATATCTACTGATGGAATAAATAAGTGAAAAATGATACTGCTGTACAACACACCAAAAAGAAAACAAAAATCATAAGGGGGGCGGTTAATTCGAGAACGGTGAAAAAGGTCTTCTTTATACCTCTACCAGGTCCTTAGCAATAATGAACATTCCAAACCATTCCACCATGTGACCATGAGAGGTCAGCACTCTTTAGAAGTCGCTTGACTGCCTTCTGGTTTATGGGTGTTCAGTGCCAGCACTTTGTGGAATGTGTAGCCGCAGTTTTCCCCAACTTCAGTGGGAAAGGAGTTAGCCCTGGGAGCCCTTTAAGGCCATTGGGCCTGGTGTCCAGCGGAAGGAAAGCGTTTGCTTCAGCCCCTTGGTTGGCCAGTGAGAGCTTCGATCCTGCGGCGGGATGCGAGGTGGGGGTCTTCAGCTCCAGGGGAGCGGACTGTGCGGGGGGGGGGGGGGTGGGGGTGGGGAAGGAAGCACATCTGTATATTTGCAGTCTGATCATTCTGCGTGGAAGGCCTTCTTGGCCAGCAGCGTTCTGCTGACGTGGCCATAGTGGAGTCCGGTGGGTCCTGACCACAAGCCCGTTCCTACCTTCAGGCACTTCAGAGAAAAACGAATGACAGCTTCGGTGCTATGGCCGATGTTTTCATCCTCAGCTGTGTCCAGTCCCCTGGCCTGGCTGGAGGCCACGGTAACCAACCAGGAGGCGCAGCCATCCTCACTGACGTCTGACATTTCCATATCTGTGGATGACTTGGTTCAAGTCTCCTTCAGCTCTCTAAGGTTGCAACCTCTTGTTTCCCACAAAGAAAAGGAAACCAAGTTCCAATTCCTCATTCGCAAAAAAATGAAAGAAAAACAAAAAATGGCGTTTTACTGCGAAGAAAAAAGCTATTCTACAGGGTCTAGAGGTAAAGCCACCTTGAGATGCGTCAGGAGCGAACGCATCTGGGTTTGTTTGAGTGTCCAGACGCAGATGGACAGAGCTGACCGCCTGCAGGGGAAGATCAAGAAGTATAAGGAGTTTCTTTCTTTTTTTTAAAACAGAAACCTTCCAGCTTGGCAAACTTCAACATTTAAGATTTTCAAAGTTTTTTTTTTTCCCTTTTCTCTTATTTTAGGAGACATTTTGCATGAGGTATTTGAAATTCAGGAACATTTTGATTCTTCTTGAAGTGCAGGAAATAGATCGGCTCCCTTAAAACAAGAAAAAAAAAAAAAAGAAAAAAAAAAGAGCCTCACCCTTAGGAACTCTTAGAAAATGGGTATTCTGGCATACACTTCCCAGTGATCAGGAGAAAGAACCACATGGCAAAGGTGGAACCTGAATAATGCACCAATTAGCCAAAACAAAACAAAAACAAAAAACAACCCAACAACAAAAACAAACAAACAGAAAAACACCCAACAAAACCCTCAGCCCCCACCCCCCACCCCGGATAACACACAACTCAAAGGGAGTTAGAACTCCAGTGCAGTCAAGAATGCTTAGGAAAAGGTTTAAGGTCCGAGGAGTCCTAGATTAATTAAGAGCAAACCTAGCCTCAGAACCACGTTGGGTAGTTCATTCAAAGGACAGCTCCGTTTTCAGGAGAGGAAGCTGCCCCCAGGTAGGCAGGCAGGGATGGAGGTGGTGGCAGGTGGGGAATTCTGTCACCCTTCTGGAGAGAGTGCAAATCGTTCCGATTGCTTGGTGCCTGGTTTGTGGCCTTCAAGGCCTGTCCACCCAGGCCCGTTCCCCACTGGGGACTGACCAGGGGCATGTTCTGGAAACATCCCCTTTTGTTTGCTCTGAGTCAAAAATACGAAGCAGAAGCAAGCCCAGTAACGTCAGGGAGAAGGCCAGGCGAGGGGGAGACAGAGGGCAGTGGGTTACTTTGGATTTAAAACCCAAGCAACGTCCTATGAGAAAGTTCAGCACCAGCTAGTTCCGCCCCTCTACCCCCAGTTTGGGGTCACTGGAAGGAGGCGCTCTTGCAGCCATTCAGCTCAGCGAAGCCAACTCTTCTGGGAGTCTCCTCAGGGGAAGCAGTGATGGTGGGGGGTGGGGTGCAAGTGCAGAAAAATCTAGGGGCTCTGCGTGTCAATCTGGCCACAGAAAGGCCTGACAACTCCAGTCTCAAGCACCCACAGCAAGCAAGAGCATCTGGTGTACCCAGCCTGCACTGAGGGGCCAGCCCTTGGAGAGTGCACCCTTCCACCTGTGATTTCTAGGGCCTTGGAGACTGGTTGGGGGACTCCTGGCTCCTCACCAGCTTCCGTTTCTTCCCCGTCTCCTCCCTGCCTGCTCTGCTCCGTTCAAGTCCTGAGGCAGGGAGGGAAGAGATGTGAGGATGGTGGCGGCCATCGCTGCTGCTTCTAAAGGTACTTCGCTGTTGCCGCCATCACCGCAACAAAACCAAGAGGGCACTTTGCAGAGGGGGATGCAAAACAACCAGGAGAAGAGGCCAAAGGTCACCTCAAGGGCACAAGGCACAAAAAAAGAAAGCAGACAGAACTGGCTGGAGAGGGAAAAAGCCCGACGGGGAGTGGATTCCTGATGGGTCCACCGCCCACAGCTTATTTCGTTACATCGAGAAGTGGGGGTGGGTATACAGCAGCAACAGAAATGGAATCTTGGCTTCGGAGACAGTGTGCAGACAGACAGACAGACGGACTCTCCTGAGCGGTTGTCCCCCTCCCCCCTCTTCCAGGACAGCAACATTGAAGTTCGAGTGTCTTTTCCTTCACAGCAGAGACCTCCTCAGTATCTGAGAAGCAACGCCATTTTACGTATTCTGGGATTTGTTTGCACTTGGTAAACTTGAAGGTTTAGTAGTTCTGTTCACACCCAAGAGGATCCACTTGGGGGAAGGTGTTCTAGAGTGAAGCCTGTTGACATAGCTCCCGGGAGCGTGGGTCGAGCATTCCTTCTAGTGTCTACATCTCCTCAGAGTTTTGCTGCGAAGCCTCCAATTTCATCTTTTTCGAAGGCGGCACTCCTTCCAAATCCTTCAGGGAAGAAAGGAGAAACACGGTTTAGAAAGCACATTTGTCCAGACATGAGGAGGGAACATGCGTGGCTCAGAACTGGGGTTTAGATTGGGCAGACTACAGGTGGACTTCTGGGGCTCGAGAAAAAGTGGCACCATCACCCCCAAACTCCTCATGTCTTTAAAGCCCACTGTGCCCTAGCCCAGCCACCCTGGCTTCCTTCCAGGTATTCCACCACACCAAGCAGGCAAGCAGGTTAGCTCCAGCTTACTTTTTTTGCCTTTGAACTTGTCGCGGGGCCTCCCCCCATATCCAGACTATCAGTCAATTTTTAATTAATCACAGTCATTATATGTGCATTGAATCCCTGGGAGCAAACTATTAACACATTCTGCTGCTAACTGAAAGACTGGTGGTGTCTACCCAAAAGCACCTCAGAAGAAATGGCTGGCAATCTACTTCTGAAACATTAACAACCCTGTGGAGCATAGTTAAACTCTGACACACAAGGGGCTGCCAAGACTTGGAATGGACTAGAATGCAACTCATTTCTTTTCTTTCAAGTTTGCGCACACTCTCCCTGCCACATGCAGCTCTGGAGCATCGGCCCCCTACCCCCCGCCCCCGGAGGCCCTACAACTGCTGCTGATTGCAGCTCCTCCAATGTCCAGACCAGGTGCCCTGCATGGGGTGGACCCTGGGTGCTTGCTGAAGGAAGAACTATATGCATATACTATATTCACTGCCCTCAAGCTGATACCAACTCACAGAGACGCTACAGCACACAGTGGGGCTGCCCCCAGTTCCCACGGCTGTCAAGTCTGTATTGAAGCTGCCTGGTGCATAGCAGGTGCCTTCTCCTGGGGAGTGGCCGGTAGGTCTGAACAGCCAATCTTACACTCAACTGCTGAGCGCTTACCCACTGCGTCACCAGGGTTCCTTGTATGGATGTTACTCTGGGGGAAAAGTCATGAACAGATTCCTAAAATGTCCCGTGACCTAAAAAAAGTTAAACATACTCAACTACCTCTTCCCCAACTTGTCCGCATCGCTCTTTCCGGCAGCACACACCCAACCTGTCACCCAGCCCCAAACTCGATTTTACTCAGGATGACTGATCCGACCTAACCTTTTCTATGGTTGTCAACGGCACCCCCAAATACCTGGGAAAATCCCCCAACCTGTAGTACTCCAAATTCTCCGACACGCTCCATCTCCCCAACACCTGACCTCCTGGGCTAGTCCATCCAAGTCCATGGCAAACATACTCTCAATTCATCTCCCGCTTTCTCTGCCGCCATCACCTCATCTCCCTGCTGCTGCCCCTCAGCCTGTCTCCACCATTCTTACATTCAGCACGCCCAAAGAGATCTGGTGGAAAACACAACAGCCTCTAGAGCTTCCCAACCACGGATCCTGCTGGCACAATGGTTACATGCTTGACTAACCTAAAGGTTGGTGGCTGGCACCTATCCAGTGGCTCTGAGAGAAAAAGACTTGGCAATGTATCCCCTAATGATTCCAAGGAAACTGTATGAGGCAGTTCTCCTCTGTCACATGGGGTGACTAAGTGTTGGAATAGAGTCAACAGCACCCAACACTTTCCTGTTGTCTTGAGAATAGAACTAGGTCTCCTTGCTCTGACTAAGCAGGCCCTCAAAATCTTCTCTAGCCCCTCGCTACTCTCCTCCCTCTCTCTAGTCTCGCCATTCTCTTCACTGTCCACTCTGGGCCAGCTCTACCAGTCTCCCTTTCTGGTTCCTTGAGCTCACCTGTCTCAAGGCCTTTGCCTAGAAAGCTGACCTTCACTTCCTCACACTCCTGCCCCAAGCTCCTCTCAACCCAAGCTTTCCAGAACCCAAACCCAACCCATCATGCGCCCTGCGAACATCCATTCCTTTCCCTCACTGCATTTACTGCAACGAGCAACTTTGTAATGTTTATGTTTGCCAAGTACTGACTGTCCCTCTGGCTCATTTTCTCTCCTAACATAAGCCATGAAGGTAAGGAGGGACTTGTCTGTCTGGTTCACCGTGTGCCCTTGGTGCCTGGTACACAGTGGTTGCTCAATCAATGCTTGGCAGAGCTCACTAAGCTTGGTGTAGGACGGGGCATGGCGGTGAGAGAAGGGCAGGAGAATGTCTTCTGGCAGACCAGACAGATATTGTAGCGGGGCAACGACCCGGCTGCCTCCTCTGACCCCAAACTCCTCAAGTCTGCTCAAAGTAACACAAGCTCATCATGGATGGAGTAGAAGGATGGTTCCCTGTCCTCCGGAGCACTAGGATCTGGGTGGGGAACAGATGAATTGCTCTGCATCAGGGAGCAAGAATTCCCACCTCAGTCCAGGAAGGGGGAGGGATGGGGTGCAGGGGGACGTGGGGGAGAGAAGAGAGGATGAGGTGTCAGATGGGAGACTCCAGGGTAGCTAAGGAGAAGCTAAGCCAGAGAGATCTCAGGGGGCAGGTGGTTAATCAGGGATGCCTGACCTTCCATGTTAGTTTTCTGCTTGTCTGCCTTGCAGCCTCCAGCTAATTCACAAGCCTGGAAACTCCACAGGGGAGTATGTCTGTGTGCATGTATGTACATGTGTGTAAGTGTCTCTCTGTGTGTGCATATATGCAGGCATGTCAGAGCCTCAATTATGTGTGCACGTCGGTATAGGCATGCCTGTGTGTGTGTGTGTGTGTGTGTGTGTGTGTGTGTGTATTACAATGGTTGGAGAGCCCCAACTGCAGGTCTGGGGTGAAGGGTTGCTAGTGTGCATGACTCCGGGGCTTCTCAGATGCTGGGGCACTACCCAAGAGGCCCTGGCTGTGAGTCCAAGTTCCAAGTTGACATTTGCCTTCACTGAGCTCCAGGAGCCAGCACACCTGGGTTTTATCCACCATAATTGGGGCTCTGATTTTATCCGTTTTAACCAAATGGGCTCCTGCTGTACTGTCTGTTCCCTGATTGGCTTTGCTTCTTTGCACACAAGACTATTCACCAGCGCTGGGGCAGTCAGCAGCACGACTTCAAACAGCGGTATTATCAATCGCTTCCCATGCTGCCAACACTGATGTCAGCACCCCCTCTCCCAGAAATGTGGGTCTCGTGTTCCATGTGGCCACTGCCCACCGCAAACACAACTGTCCTCAATGTCCTGCTGCTTGTGTCTTCGGGTATGTGGAGGAGGTGCCAAGAGGGATGAGTTTCTAGAAATGACGTGCAGCTCCCAGGGTGGTTGTTGCTGTTGCTGGTGGCACGCCGTTGAGCCAGTTCGGACTTGTAGTGACCCCATACGCTAAAGCAGAGTTGCCTCGTAGGGTTTTCTTGGCTGTAATCTTTACAGAGGCCTTTCTCCTAAGGAGCTGCTGTGTGAGCTCGAACCACCAAACTTTGTGTTAGCTTCCTGTTGCGACACCAGTCCTCCTTAGGAAGATGTTGGATTCTGACGCACTTCCTTGTTGGGGTGTGCCTGTTTTGAGATCCATAAAGTGCAACCAAGTCCTGTCAGGTTCCCCCAGTCCCCCTTCATTCTGCTGTGACCTGTGGACTGTTTCTTCCCAGAGACTCTAAAACACTGAGCAAAACGTGAAGTTCCATGAGGTGATTTTTTTGATGCCACTGAGTCCCCACTGCCCTGGACCAAGCACACAAGGCTCATCGTGGATACTGCTTCAACATCAGCTCTATGCTTAAGTGATCACCATATTCTCTCATCTCATCCTCAGCTTGGTCCCAAGACACGATTCCAGAATCCCCATTTTACAGATGGATATACTGAGGCTGAGAGACACCAGCTGTCCAGAACTAAGGGACCGGGCTGTGATTTGAACCCAGGACTGAACCCAGTATGTGTGCCCGTAACAGCTGGGCTGCCCTACACAGATGGGGTTCAGATCCCACCTGACTAATCGTCATGACTCAGAAGGAAATTCTAGCAGTGTGAACGCGGTCAGTCACAAAATTCCAATGGACAAACCAGATTGACAAGACAAGACGTGTCTTCCCAGCACCAAGGAAGACATTTTGGGTCTCTGAGATCAGGTGATGCTTCTGTGGACTAGAAAAAATAAAATGGCAAAGCTGAGATCAAGGTAAAGATGGGTCTTTTCTCCCTACACTGGGGGATCCCTGAGGCATGGCCTGTCTTGTCCATCACCTTAGTCCTGGCGTCCAGGGTGGACACCGGACATAGATACGCAGTGATTCCACTGAAAGGGCAAATCAAAGTCCCAATGAAACTCTGCACAAGACACAAAACAGAACAACGAAACTCCTCTCAACATTCCCCCCCACCCCCACCCTCTGCCACAACAGGCTCCCAGCCGGGCTGGCTGCCCCTCTGCGGCCTCAATCAAGGTACCTGAGAGATTGCTGACGCGTCTGTGGCGAGACCCGCGTCTCCAGATGGCTGCCTTTCCACTTTCTCTGAACTGTTCATCGAGTTTTCCATTGAAGATGGCAAGTTGTGCTCATCAGAGGCATCTGAGGAAGAAAGAAGACGACACAAGCTGTTTTCAGACACATGGCAACCGGCACCAGATGGGCCACATACTAAAAATACCAGGAAGTGGGTAGCGCTGGGGCCAGCAGTCTTTCAGGACTATAATGGGAGAAGCTGGGAAGCCTATTATTATTGGTTTTTAATTGTCTTTATTGTGATAAAAAAATGTGTGTTTGATAAAACTTTTGTCAATTCAATAACTGTTTACACATACAGAGTCCCTGGGTGGGGCCAACAGCTTCAGCATTCGACCTCTTGTGAGACTGGCTGTGTAAACCTTAGAACACAGGCCTCCTCGAAAACTCCACGGAGCAGCGCTTCTCTGTACACAGGAGCTGCCACAAGCCAGAGTGGATGCAATGACAACAACGTGATTCCATGACCTTGGGCTTAATGTTCATCACGTTAAGCAACCATCACCACTCTATGTTTCCAAATGTTCCACCACTAACAGACACCCGCCTCTTTCTCCCACTTTACTACCCTGGTAACCATAAGGACATTTTGGTCTCTATAACCAAAAGCCAAACCAAACCTGTTGCTGTTGAGTTTTGTTTGACTCATGGTGACCCGTACACGTTACAAGGTAGAACAGCGCCAGAGGATTTTCATGCCTATTTGATGTACATGGGCTCGTACAGTATTTATCTTTATCTTATTATCATTCCAGTTTTGTCCTATTTATTTATTTTTTTTATGTGATGTGCCAATGGGTCTCTTATGTCCCTTTAAATTTTATTTACTGATGTTGTTAAGAATATATACAGCATAGGATGTTGGTGCCTATTTCATTTAAGTCGAACCATGTGATATTTATCTTTTTCTTATTATCTTTCCATTTTTGCCATATTTATTATTTGCATATGATGTACCAACGGCTCTATTTCCTTTAAATGTTACGTATTAATTTATGTTGTTAAGAATATAATATATATAGCATAAGATTTTCCTGCCTAGTTCATCTAAGTGGGAACATAGGATATTTATCTTTCTGTTATCTTTAAAATTTGGCCATATTTTTAAAATTTGTATTTGTTAAGTGCCGTCGACTTGGTTCCTACTCATAGTAATGCTGTGTAAGGTTTCCAAGGAGTGGCTGGTGAGCTTGAACCACTGATCATGCAGTTCAAACCAATTTTGCAGTCTAGCGCATTAACCAACAGTGGCACATCAGGACTCCATTATTTGCATATGTTGTATCAACAGTTCTCCTACTTTTCCTTTATGTTGTTAAGAATATATACAGAAAAACATACATATGCCACTCAACAGTTTCTATATGCATAATTCAGTGATATTGGTAACACTCACTGAATTTTTCAACAATTCTCATTATTCCTCCTCATTAACAAACTGTCCCTTAAGGCTCCTATCAAACTTTTTAAGTCACTGTTGTCAACTGGATCACACATAGGTATTCTTTTTGTTGTTGTTGTTGTTGTTGGAGTGAAAGTTTACAGGGCAGATCATCCATTTTACATTCAACAAATAATATACTTTGTTGCATTACAATGATTATAATCCCCTCCATGTAGGGTCAGTTAACAGTATTTCTTTCTATTGATTTTAGCTTTCTTTTTTTTAAACCCTCAGGCATATATAATAATTTAAACCACTAAAGGGCACATTCGGCATGCCTGCTTCCTGGCCGCTATCTCTTAGTCCCTCTCTTCCCATGAGTCTAGAGTCCTCAGCCACTCCCCCTTCTCCATGTCCCCATTTCTGCCTCCATCTCTGGTGTCGCTGCTTCTCTGGATAGGGTTCTGCATTCCGCTCGTGCTCTTCTCTCTTGATGGTCCCAGGGTCCTGTTTCTGGACTACAAGATTAACTACTTCCCTGTTTTTGTTACACAAAGCTTTTACCTTTACAATTGAGACAATCGCATTTAGTCATGATTAACAATTACTCACTATTGAATCTTAAGAATCTTATCCCCATCTCTTTTTACCAGACCCATCACGACAAGATGGTAAGTATTCAGTGGGGACTCTTTCTTCCCACACACTCTTAATTAAACTCCCTCTTGAAACTTTGTAAGCCAGTCACTTCATGCCTTTATCATCCCCTCATTTTAGGTAACCAATGTCTAAGTTGCCCAAGCCTACCTACCCTATATACAGAGGAATAGGGTTGATACTTGATGTGAACACTCCTTCCGTCTCTGTTGGTATATTGAGCTACAACCTCCATGAGTATAGGTCAAGTTCATCAAATTGAAGCAATTTACTCTACTTTTCTTTATAAAAAAAAAATTTTTTTTTAAATCTCCCCCTAGTCGAGTTCTGATTATCAAGCCATCAAGGCTAGGGCAAATGGGTACTATCTGCACATTTGGGTGTTCTTGTGCATCTCCCCTCACTTCATATCAGCTGGATGCTTCACTCTCAGCTCTAGCCCTCTGTGGCTATGTCCTTGTCCACATTCAGGTGTCCCCATGTCTCACCACACTTTGGACCAACCAGCCCTTCCTCTTCTCTGTCTCATCTCCAAGTTAACAGGAGTCAGTGGACTGTGGTTGAACTCAGCCCATTTCTTCATTGCTTTTCCGCCTCTTCCACTCATCAGTAGACCAATGTGGTCATCAGCAAGTTTACATGTCTGCTCATGTGTTCCCTTTGGGTTTCAGTCTTAGAGGGGGGTTTGTCCTGAAGGGACTTATTTGCTTGCCTTGATGACTTCCCAGCAAACAACTTGCTTATTCCTGTAGTAGCCAATCATGCTGTCATTTTTGTTTTGGGTTTTTCCTGCTGATCTTTCTAGAACACTCTAGCTGTTCCAGGCTGGTCCGCTTATCCTCTCTAGTGGGAAGGTACCACCTCCTAAGGTTCTGGATGGGACTCAGGATTCCACCTAAGGTCCTATACTCTGCAAAGGCTCCACAAGAGGCCTGTTTCACTGGGCAAGTTCTAGAACCCCTTTTAGGTATTCCAATCAGTTATAGGCTGAAGACGGGCTTACAAGCTTTCTGTAATCATGTTTCCTGACATTCCTTTGTATCCCACTCAAGTTCTGTTTTACAATAGCAGGCAAGGGACACCAATAGCATCTTAGTAGTATTTCCCGTCTTCAGACTATGCCTCGATCCCTGTATCACAGAGCCCTGTTGTTCCACAGCTGAGAATGCAGCACTATTTACCTCTGTCCCATTTAGCCCATGCAAACCTGTCTCAGTGTTTCCTTATCTAGCTTGCTATTCCACCACCCCATTCTTGTGTATTGCCCCTCCCCAACACCTGAACTATGATGTGTCTGCCCCCCTCTATCTCCCCCAAACCCTCCACCCCACCCCCACCAGTAACCAACAATAAATTTTTTTTTTCTTTCCCTGTTAGTATGGGTATCTTTTCTTAAGCTTTTACAGTAATGGTCATAAGCAATATTTGTCCTTTTATGACTAATTTCACTCAGCATAATGTCCTCGAGGACATTATTTTATGTGGTTTACAGCTTCCTTATTATTCTTCGAGGTAACATAAACATTCCCTTGTGCGTATACATTTGCCTTTTTTTTTTTTTTTTTAAATATGTCAGATCATATTTGTCCTTTTGGGATTGATTTATTTTACTCAGCATAACATCTTCAAGTTCCAGCAAGATTTCATTTCTCCTAGACACTGAGCAGTGGTCCATCATGTGCATGTACCACAATGTGTTTACTCATTCATCTTGTAAGTGACTTTCGGTTGCTCCCACCTTTTGGCTACTGTGAACAGTGCTGCAGTAAACATTGGGGTACAAATCTGTTTTAATCTCTGTTTTCAAGACTTTTGGGTCTTGAGTAGAATTGCTGGGTTATATGGAATCCTGGTGTGGTGCTGTAGGATAAGCACTGGACTACTAACTACAAGGTCAGCGTTCAAACCCATCAGCTGGCCTTTGAGAACCTTATAGAGGGTGGCTGTGAGTGGGAACCATCTCAACGGTACTTAACAACAACATGGCCGTTCTACAAGCAGGCTTCAAAAAGTTCATGGAAAAATTCCATTATCCATCAATCCCATTTTTCTACAACTTTTCTGAAGCTCCTTCATATTTTTAGCTTTTTGAGGAACCACCACACTGCTTTCCACATCAATGGTACCATTTGCATTCCTACTAACAATGGGCAGACTCTTGGTGTGGCACTGTAGGATCAGCACTAGGACCACAAGGTTGGCAGTTCAAATCCACCAGCTGCTCCTCAGAAACCGTATACAGGGTGGCTATGAGTCGGATCCAACTTGGCGGCACTTAACAACAACAATAGATAAGGATTCCAAGTTCCCAACATACTTAGCAATATTTGTTTTCTGATTTTTTTTTTTTTAATCTTAGCCATTCTAGTATCTTATATTTTTTAGAGAAGCTGTTTTAAGCAGCCAGGCCACTTGTTGGGTCCTGGGCCTAGCGTTCTCTCTTGCACACCCCTTACTTGCCTAAAGAGAACTACTAAGGCGTCTGCCTCCTGTGCTGCTTGCTCGTGGCGCCATCTGGTGGCCAAAATGTATGCCAACAGCCACAGCTACTGTGTTTTCTCCCAGTTTTTTAAACTTCTTGGATTGCTGTCAGAGGTAACTGATAGAGGCTGGCTCTCTGTAATCCTTTCTCTTAATAGCATAACTTTTTTTTTTTTTTGGAATGTTAGAGCAATGACTGACCAGTGCAAGAAACACAAGACAAGGGGAAACAATTCGAAGAAAGTATCTGGTGGTCCAACAGTGAGGAGCTGTAAGATTGGCAGTTTAAACCTCCCAGTAGTTCTGTGAGAGATAAGGCTTGGTGATCTGCTATAGTAAATATTGTTGCTATTGTTAAGTGCCATTTAGTCGGATCCGGCTCATAGTGACCCAGTACAGGGTTTCTGAGGAGCAGCTGGTGAGTTTGAACAGCGTACAAAACCTCACAGGCGCAGTTCCTCTCTAAGCCGGAAATGACTAGAGGGCGGCTAAAGCACATGATCATTTTGTACTTCTCACAGATTCCACCCCAGGAACATTTTAG